ACCTGCGCCGAGTCAATAGTATCAGCTGATTCATCCAAAGTGATTGAGTAATATATATTTTCCTTTTGAAGTATTGCATGAAGTTGTTCTGTTAAGTTGAAGGCTAATTCATGCTGCCAATCAGTTATGGTTCCTTGAAAGAGGCAGTTGTTTGTACTTTGAAATGTTATCTGGGTCTAAGCATCCTACCACTTTGACAATGCATTCTTTCACAATTTCTAAATCACTGAATGGCTTCCCTTTTTTCCCGAGTATATGCTACTTTATAAGCTGCTTCAGTGGCATTATTTCCAGGTGGTTATTGCTGCTTGAAAGAATTGTCTTTGCTTTTGCTTTTCATCTTTTAATTTCTGCAATACAACCTTTTGTGCCTCTCCCTCTAAAATATTTGTGGTCCTTATGAGTGTTATAACGCTGATGAGCATTGAATTTCTTTAATGTTGATATCGCAGTATCACAAAGCAAGCAAATCATCTTATCTTTAGCAGAAACAAGGTAATATTGTAATTCCCAATCCTCATTTAAAAATCTATTTTCTTCCTTTAGTGTTCTCTTGATTTTCTTTGACATGGTGGGCTGTAAAGCAGAAAGAATTAAAAAATACCGTTGAGCTGTGCAACTATTCCCAAATTCCACTTCAAACAGAAACACAGTATGCCATTGTCAAAAGCTGATAACAGACTGGCATACTCAACCCCCATAAATTCTCGCAAACCAGCCTCGTCCGGTAGTAGCGCCAGTCAGGCGGGCGAAGTTAGAACTAAATCGTGAGTGTAGCATCCATCAATTTAGCCCTTACGGCTTACTAGTTCTAATTGTGCCAGTCAATCTGGGAGGATTATTCCTTTGAAACTTATTTTATTCTTTGGTATTTTAAATATGTTCATTTTAAAAATAAAATAAAAATATAAAAGATGAACAAAAATGTATTTATAAAACTAAAAAGATTTGTTCTATAAAATTTGGATTCAGTCAAAAGGCTGCACTTAAGGACCTAAAAGTCCACATGTAGCCTTATGGCTGTAGGTTCCCCACCCCTGGGCCAACTTGTGTCTTGTAAGTAGGGTAAAATCTCATACCCTGTATAACTTTTGACATACACAAAAATCAATTCCTGATAGTTTTTAAGTCAAAGAGTAAAACAACAACTTTGGAGAATTTTTCTAAAAGAAAACATAGGAGAATATCTTCATGAACTTAGCACAGGGAAAGAGTTCATAAACAGGACAAAAAATCACTTGCTGTAGAGGAAAACACTGATCAATTGGGCTATATTAAAATGTACTTCTCTTCAGCAAAAGACATCATTAAGAGCGTGAAGAGGCAGTCCACAGAATGGGGGAATATATTTACAACATAAATAAGCAACAGAAGGTTCATATCTGGAATATCACATGAATTTTTACATATCAGTCAGAAAAACAATCAACCTAAAATAAAAGTGGGCAAGACACTTGAGTAAACACCCCACAAAAGAGGATCTCCAACTGGATGATAAAAAAGTCAAAATGTGCTCAAATTAATTAATCAGGGATTATCATTTAAAGCCACATTGTGTTACACTGTATACTCACTAAAATGGCTAAAATTAAAAAGACTAACAATGCCAAGTTTTGGCAAGGATATGAACCACAGGAATGCTCATTCACTGATGGTAGGATTGTGAATGAGTACAACCACTTTGGAAAACTGTTTGACATGAAGCTAAACACATGCTTACACTATGAGCCAGCAGCTCCACTCCTAGATATATATACTCAACTGAAACATAGGCACATGTGTACCAAAAGACATGTCCAAGAATATTCATATTAATATTCATAACAGTAAATAATTGCAAACAACCCAACTGTATATCAATAGTAGAATAGATAAATAAATTGTGCAAACAATAGAATATTATACAGCAGTGAAAATGGACATGAACAAACTGAAAATGGAAATGAACAAACTGCAGCTACCTGAAACAATGCAGATGAATCTCACAAACATAATGTTGAACAAAAGAACCAAAGAACGATAGTGGAGCAATATTAAAACCAGACTGAATAAAATCTAAAGTGAAAACATTAATATGAATAAAGAGGGATATTACTTAATGATAGCAGGAATATTCCACAGGAAGATATGATCATAAATTTGCAACTAACACCATAGTCTTATAAAAAGGAAATTTGTCATGATTACAAGAACAATTGACAAATTCAATCATGGTAGGAAATTTGATACTCTACTCTTATATTTTGTAAATACAGAAAACAATACTATAGTTATGGATATATACATTAGTATTAAAAGTGTAATAAAATCATGGACAGGAACTATTTTTAAAACTTTATGGTAATAGTTGCCTATGCAAAGGCAGATAAAGAGAGTAAGCCTAAGTGGGTGTACAAAGGAAGCTTTAATTTCATCTGAAATGTTTTATGTCTTAAGAAAGATATCTGACACAAAAGAGAAACATAAAATTCCAGGTTTAGGGTATATACATTTATATCATCCTATTTTATTTTTGAAATTTTTCATTAAGAAACAAGAACTAGAGAAAACTATTAGAAAGAAAAATTTGACTTTAAAACTCAAGTATCTTTTTCTTGAAAGAAGATTAAATAAATACAAGTATCATAAACTAAGAATTCTACATATTTAGTAGAGAAATAAGAATATAGAAGAATTAAATAATATTATCAATAAATATATATACACAAAATATATTTATGTGCAAACACATATACACACATGGAGAGAGATATTTATAAACACACATATAGGCTGGGCATGGTGGCTCACACCTAATCCTAGCACTCTGGGAGGTTAAGGTGGGAGGATTGCTTGAGCTCAGGAGTTCAAGATCAGCCTGAGCAAGAGTGAGACCCCATCTCTACTAAAAATAGAAAAATTAGCCGGGCATCATGGTGTGCACCTGTAGTCCCAGGTACTCAGGAGGCTGAGGCAGGAGGATCACTTGACCCCAGGAGTTTGAGGTTGCTGTGAGCTAGGCTGATACCATGGTGCTCTACTCAGGGCAACGGAGTGAGACTCTGTCTCAAAAAATAAAAAAATATACACACACATATATATAGACATAGAACATTTCTCAAATAGAGAATATACCTTCCATGAAAATATAGGGCATATACATAATCAGTCATGTACTTGGCCACAACAAACAGTTCTTACAAATTTAAGTCAAAAAATAACAAAATGGTCAAAGGATATGTATAAACAATTTATAGAAAAGCATATCCAGATAGCTAGCAAGTTTGAAAAATTGTTAAATTTACTAGTATTTAGAGAAATACAAATTAAAGAATAATGAGACACCATTTTCAGACTTTTCAACATCTAAGAGCAGGTGGATCTTAAAAACAGTGCTGAGTGAAAAGCTGAACAGATCTATGACAAATACCATATACATAAATTAGAAATGAATGCATACAACAAACATCTTAAAAGGAAACATACAACAAAAGGATATGCATTAAATATTAGGATGGTTTCCTGGAATAGTGGGGAATGGGAGTGGGAAATGGAGATAACAAATAAATATTATAAAATGAGCTGTAATACCTATTGCTGGAAGGATGTGGAGGAAAAGAACCTTCCAGTGCTATTGATAGAAATATGAGGTGTTGCAAACTTTCTGGAAAATAATTTGACAGCATATGTTAACATATTCTAGAAGTAGTGGTAATGCTCATCAATAGGAAAATGACTAAATAAATCATTCATAGTGTGATATATTATGTAGCCATTGAAAGAGAATTAGAACTATATTTTATGCCTTTAAGAGATTTTATAAGATATTATTGAATTGAAAGAAGGTGTAGACAAGTGAGTATACTGTGATGCAATGTTAGGAGACAATGAACCCCCAAAACCTTTAAATATGTGTGTGCGTGTGTGTGTGTCTACAAGCACAGAGAAAAATAATTAAGAATATATATTAGGTTAGCATTGGGAAGTAAACTAATGCAGGGAGAAGGAGAGGAAAGGGAAAGGCATGGACGAGAGGAAAAGAAAATAAAAATTGCACTAAAAAAATGATCACAAGTATTTGATCACATTCATTCATAAATGTAAAATTTTGTATATGTGAAGGTATTTGTAGACAGAAATGAAATAAGATTTTTTAAAATTTATTTATTTGCCTAAAGAAAATGAGTTTCTCAGATGGTTGGAATTTCAGGGTACAGATGAGAGATATTGGTGATTTGAGTCTTGCTTGTTGCCTGCTCTGATAACTCCACTTTAATGAATATATAATCCTGGTACTGAGTTTGATTGTACTATGTACTATGTACTATTGTACTATGATTTGTACTATTCGTGGAATCTTTGTGGTTATAGTTGTTTCTCTAGTGATTTCCTTACTCACATAATTTTTAAGAATTTCATTATAGTGAAAACAAGTTTGTCGGATTAACAGATAAAACTTTTCAGTGAGTGGGTCCCAGTTTTTTGTTCATTTGACTCAAATCTTTTAAAAGAGATGAGATCTTGCTCTGTTGCCTAGGCTGGAATGCAGTAGAGTGATCATAACACATTGCAGCCTTTAACTCCTGAGCTCAAACAATTCTCCCACTTCAGCCTCCCAAGTATCTGGGACTACAAGTGCATGCCACCATGCCTGGCTAATTTTTAAATATTTCTGTAGAGACTATGTTGCTGAGGCTGGTCTCCAACTCTTGGCCTCAAGTGATCCTCTCACCTCGGCCTCCCAAAGTGCTAGGATTACAGGTGTGAGCCACTGTGACCAGCCTACAATGCATTTTGATAAATGAGGTATGCTGAGCAAAAATGTAGAGAAAGAGCATCTTGTCCATAACTGAGCACAGACTAGGCTTTTGAGTCTTACCGAGCTGAAGTTGTAAATACCGCATTGATATTAAATGTACATTTTTTAATGAAAGGGCTAAGTGCTAAGAAACAGCATTAAGTCAAGTGTTAGAAATCAGTACAAGAACAGTGTAACTGACTATATTGTATTTGTATTTCAGGTGCCTTTGGTGCTTCATGAAGAATATTTCCAGATACATCACAGACATTAAACCTCTGCCTCCCAACATAAAAGATAGACTGATTAAAATAATGAGTATGCAGGGGCGAATAACAGATTCAAATATAAGCGAGGTAAGAGTATGTATAACTATAAAGCAAGCATACTATATTTTACTGTTTAGATATGGTTTCAGTTTTTGAAGTAATGGTATACAGTAGGATTGGTAATCATTTTAAAATATAAAGCGTCAGGATTTTTTTTCCTCCAGATAACCAAATTGTAATTCAAGGAGCACAGATTCCAGAAGCATGTGAAATTGTGTCCTGACTAGCTAATTTGGGGTAGAGTTTTTTAAAGAAATACGAAGAAATTGGTACTTATTAGTTCATTCGTAACCTACTATTTTGATTGGTCGTAAAGTATTATCAAAACAATTCATTGGTTAGAGTAAGGGTTTCTAGGCAAAAGTCCTTGATTCAAGGGTTTGGAAAAAGTTTTTTCATCAGCATAAAGTCTTTTCATAAGTGGCAGCAATTTTGTCTGCAGCATCGGCAAGTATATTTTGGGGTCAGGCAATCGCAAAATGGCATTCGGGAACAAAATGGCATTGCTCTGGTCAGCTCAGTTAGCCTTCCGTCCAGACTTGTCTTCATGGTACCAGCACTGTTGATCTCTGTGTTTGCAAAAAGTTTAAAGCTTTTTGGTCAAGACTCACAGTAAGAAATATGTGTTACATCATGACTCTAGTACACAAACCATGCTTATGTGTAACAATACTGTGTGCAGTACACTTTGATATTTTCTATTTTATTTTATTCTATTTCATCTTATTTCATTTAAAAAAATATTGATCACAGCCTACTAAATTAACAACCAGCAGTTAAAAATCACTCTTCTAAACTATGGTAATCCCATTCTTCTGGATACCTCATTCCTTCCTGCTAATTTATATTTACTTCCCTTCCCTACAACTAAGCTAACCTTCTTCAGGACACCTGTGCCTTTCGTTGGCTTTTCTATAAGGCAGGAAGTATAGCAAGGGCCTCCAACCTGAATTAAAATTCCACCTTTGCCACTCTTTCTGACATGGCGCCTCGGTTCTCCGAACTGTCAAACGGGAGGTCAAAGCAACTGCTCGCAGGGATATTTTTGAGGACTCCTTAAGAGTGGCTGATGTGGGCCGGGCGCGGGGGCTCATGCCTGTAATCCTAGCTTGCTGGGAGGCCGAGGCGTGAGGATCGCTGCAGCTCAGCGGTTCGACACCAGCCTGAGCACAGTGAGATCCCGTCTCTATCACTAGAAAAAAAAAAATAAGTAAAGACAAAAAAAAATACACAAAACCAACAAAACACAGCTGGGCGCTCTGGCAAGCGCCTGTAGTCCCAGCCACCAGGGAGGCTGAGACCAAAGGATCGCTCACAGCCCAGGACCTGGAGCTTGCGGTGACCCTACCTCTCTGCACTCTACCCAGCACACCGAGTGACACTCTGTCTCCACAAAAAAAAACACGGAAACTGATGGAGTGCCTGCTTAAACCCCCACCCCCCTCATTTTCAAACACACACACACAAACAGAGTGGCTAATGTGTTGCTTGGAAAACCATGTGATCTTAAAACCGAGGGCATAGGTGGACCAGTAGTAGGAACCCGGTCCTCAACTCAAGAACCGGTGGGAAATGTGCTAATGGAAGGGAGGTGGCCTAATGTTGAGAGCCTGTTTTTAGAAACACTGGCAGGTTTATTATTCTCTTTCTCGATTGAAAGAGAGGGTTCATGCTTTTTACATTTACTAAATAATTTATTAACTTTATAAAAGTCATGTTGTGTGAAAACTATCCTTTTGCACTAATCTTTCAGTGTGTCAAAACATAATTCTAAAAATGTTAAAAACATAATTCTTACACAAATAGAAAACATGTGCCAAAGTTTTAAATAACTCATTAATAAAAGAACCAGCAGGAATGAAAAACTAGTTCAAAAGAGTATTCAGGAAACTAATACCTATTTTTCTAAACATGTACACACATAAACACACCCACAAAGAAACAAAGTTGGAATAAGTTTAATAAATTAGGTACAAAATTGGATAATATTTTACAGGACAGTAAAACTAACCACTAAGGCTGTTTTTTTCTACTGAACAGAAATCTTTGCATCTCTATAAAAAAGAAACATTTGCATTTTATCAGTTTCTACAAGTTAACATCTCACTTTACAGAATTTTAAGGTAATTAGAATCTTTGCTTCAATTAATAGTAAATAGATCAAACAATGTTACATTTTCCTAGAAAATTGATCACTAGGTGGTGTTAGGTGTTAGGGGTTGAATTGTGTCCTCCTTCTAAAAATACGTTGAAGTCCTAACCTCTAGTACCTCAGAATGTGACCTTATTTTGAAATAGGTTCTTTGCAAATGTAATTAGTTGTGGTGAGGTCATACTAGAATAGAGCCCCTAATCCAATATGCCTGGTGTTCTTATAAGAAGAGAGCCATGAGAAGACACAGAGATACTGGGAGAACACCATATGAAGACGGAGGCAAGATTGGAGTGATACATCTGCAAGTTAAGAAACGCCAAGGATTGCCAGTCGTTAACAGAAGCTAAGAGGGCGGCATGGAACATATTCTCCCTCAGAGTCATCAGAAGGAAATTACCTGTCAGCACCTTGATTTCGGACTTCCAGCCTCCACATCTATGAGAGAATAAATTTCTGTTGTTTTAAGCCACCCAGTTAGTGGTACTTTGCTTCTATGGCAGCCCTAGAAAACCAATACAGGTGGGCTTCTTAGACAGCTCTCTAGCTTGTTATTAAAGGTGGTATAGGGCGGGACGCAGTGGCTCATGCCTGTAATCGAACTCTGGGAAGCTGGGGTGGGAGGATTGCTTGAGGTCAGGAGTTCAAGACCAACCTGAGCAAGAGTGAGACCCCATGTCTACCAAAAATAGAAAAAATTAGGCATGCGTAATGGCACACGCCTGTGGTCCCAGCTACTCGGGAGGCTGAGGCAGTAGGATCGCTTGAGCCCAGGAGTTTGAGGTTGCAGTGAGCTAGGCTGATGCCACTGCACTCTAGCTTGGGCAACAGAGTGAGACTCTTGTCTAAAAGCAAAACAACCCTGATGTATCTTCAATGCTTTATTTTCTTTATATTAGCTTGCATTTGAACATAGACATTTTAGTGGTGTAGTCTGCTTGGCTTTATGGAGGCTAGATGATATCTCTGGGTTTTATTGTTGATAATTTTGTTGATGTGTGTAATGTTATGTGTGACTCATAGATGAAACATTATGACACTACAGAAAACTGGTGGTTTTCTTCTCTCCCCGACCATCTCCATTTCTTTCTATCCCGTTAGCTTATATTTCAGTGACTTACGTTTTTATTGATGGCAATCCTTAACATTTATTTACACTTAATTTTACCTGAATAAAAAGATGTAAAGGGGTAAATGAGATAGAGAACAAAACATGATTTTTCTTGGTGCTCTACCACTAATTCCCATCCCTGCAAGAGTCCTGCTTGTGAAATTACTCAGAAGGCAGATACAACATCTGTTAAAAAGCTATACACATCATTGGATGGTCTCTTTTTGAAGTATTTCCTATATCTTTTTATAGTTTCTGGATGAAGGTGGCCTTTTAAAATATGATACCATTACCAAAAAATTGAAAGAAATTAATTGGACAGCTAAAAATATATGTAGAAAAAATTAGCCGGGCATGGTGGCGCATGCCTGTGGTCCCAGCTACCCCGGAGGCTGAGACTTTAGGATTGCTTGAGCCCAGGAGTTTGAGGTTGCTGTGAGCTAGGCTGACGCCACAGCACTCGCCCCAGGCAAGAGAGTGAGACTCTGTCTCAAAAAACAAACAAAAAAAATATGATACCAAAGTTAGAAACCAAGAAAAAATTAATGGATAGATTTGATTACATAACAATATAAACTTCTTTATGGCAAGAAGGAAAAAAAGAAACAAAGTCAAATAACAGACTTGGAAAATATTTGCAATATATAATCGAGGGTTTTTAAAACAATCTTGACAATATAAAGAATCCTTACAAACCAATAAGAAAAAACAAAACGACAAAATAAAAAAGAAGAATCAGGAAATACTCAAAGGAAAAAATACAAAATTACCATCAACATATAAAAGGATATTTAACCTCAGTAGTAATAAAAATGATGGGCTGCCTTTCAGTTTGGCAGAGACTTAAAAAAAATAATACCCAGTGATGGCAATAGTGTGGAGAAACTGTCACTTTTATCCCATTAGTGAGAGTGTTAATTGATAAAAAGACCTTTTAGGTGGACAGTTTGGCATTAATCTATCAAAATTACTTCTGTTAGAAATCTCAGGAAAAGAATAGTCAGAAAAGCACACAGGTATGTTCATCATAATATCATTTATAATAATAAAAATAGTTATGTATCACAAAAATCAACTCACGGTGGATAACAGACTTAAACCTAAGGCATGAAACATAAGAATTCTAGAAGAAAATGTTGGAAATACTCTTCTAGACATTGGCCTAGGCAAAGAATTTATGAAGAAGACCCCAAAGGCAATCACAGCAACAACAAAAATAAATAAATGGGTCCTGATCAAATTAAAAAGCTTCTGCACAGCCAAAGAAACTATCATGAGAGCAAACAGACAATCTACAGAATGGGAGAAAATTTTCATGTTACACATCCAACAAAGGGCTGATAACTAGAATCTATTTAGAATGCAGGAAAATCAGCAAGAAAAAAATCAAACAACCTTATCAAAAAGTGGGCAAAGGACATGAATAGAAGCTTTTCAAAAGAAGACAGAATAATGGCCAACAAACATATGAAAAAATGCTCAACATCTCTAATCATGAGGGAAATGCAAATCAAAATCACAATGAGATATCACTTATCCCCAGTGAGAATGGCCTTTATCAAATAGTCCCAAAACAATAAATGTTGGCGTGGATGCGGAGAAACAGGAACACTCATACACTGCTGGTGGCACTGCAAACTAGTACAACCTCTGTGGAAAGCAATATGGAGACACCTCAAAGAGATACAAGTAGAACTACCATTTGATCCAGCAATGCCATTACTGGGCATCTTCCCAAAAGAACAAAAGACATTCTATAAAAAAGACATCTTCACTAGAATGTTTATAGCAGCACAATTCACAACTGTAAAGATGTGGAAACAACCAAAGTGCCCATCAATATGTGAATGGATTAATAAAATGTGGTATATGTATGTCATGGAGTACTATTCAGCCACAAAAAACAATGGTGATATAGCACCTCTCATATTATCCTGGATAGAGCTGGAACCATTCTACTAAGTGAAGTATCCCAAGAATGGAAAAATAAGCCCCACATGTACTCACCATCAAATTGGTTTTAACTGATCAACACCTATGTGCACATATAGGAATAACATTCATTGCATGTCGGGCAGATGGGAGGCGGGAGGAGGGGATGGGTATATACACACATAATGAGTGCAATGCGCACCGTCTAGGGAATGGACATTCTTGAGGCTCCGACTCGGGTGGAGCAAGGGCAATATATATAACCTAAACATTTGTACCCACATAATATGCTGAAATAAAGAAGAAAAAAATGGTAACATACAAGTTGAAAGCCAAAAAAATTAGTTATGTATAGCATATATTAGAAATGAGGCACCTTTATTTCTCACAATATATTATCCCTGTTTCAATAATGAGGCTAGTGCAGCACAGAGAGAAAGCAGAGCTTGGTCACAATCCTAGGGTTCAAACTCAGGCAGTCAGCCTCCAGAGCACATGTTCTTAATCATGACACTATATTGCCTTCCAAAGCAACCTAAATGTTCAGTGTTTGCCAGTGTAGGATGCATTTACTAAAGTATGGTACTTGCATAAAATGGAATAGGATGCAACCACAATCAATCAATTTTATAAAAAGTACTCATCTTATATATGATCTGATCCCATTTTTCTTCAACGGATCATTTTAAAAACTCAAAAAACATCAAAACTAATGTAACTTTATCTGTGGGTATTGGTATTATGGGTAATTTTAGTTATAGTAGTTAAAAGCATAGGCTTTGGAATTAGAAGGACAGGGGTTCCAATCCCAGCTCTGTTCCTTTTGGCTGTGTTCTTTATGTTGGCTACTTAAGTTCTTGGGGCCTCAATTCCATTATTTATAAAATGGCAATGACCAATCCTTCAGGGTGTGTGTGTGTGTGTGTGTGTGTGTGTGTGTCTGTGTGTGTGAAAGAGGAACAGAGAGACTGAGAAAGAGAGAGAATATGAAATAACATAATGACACTTAGTACCCTTCCTCATAAGCATCTAATAAATAGAAATAGTTATTCTTATCATTTATTATAATTTTTCTATATTGTCTGAATGTTTTACAATAATAATACATTATTTTTATATTCAGAAAGATAAAGTCATTTCTATTTTGGAAAAAAAATAACATAAAAGTAAAGAAAAATACCCCCAGGAAAGAGCTCAGATTGCTTAGAAATTTATCTGTTAATTGTTGGCCTCAAGAAAATGCTTAATAATACTAGGTTTGTACTAGCTCTCCAAAATAATGATGTAGAAGGTAAATGTTCTAGATAAGCAATACAACCTGTAAGCATTTGGTATATAAGTGATTAAAGACTTATAATCATACCTGCTGAGCAAAGAGGCACATAGGTAGAGTCTCTGGTGACAGTCAGGAACTACCAGAAGATAATTACCACTACCTTGGTTATGCTTCTCAGGTTAGGGGTCCTTACTCTGTTCCAGCCATCTCAACAGTGCTTTGTGTCCCAGTAAGGACTTTCAGGGCACTGAAAGGTGCACCTCCAGCTGGAAGTACACTTGGTTTTCTCCTGCTTTATGTATCTGTCTCCACATGGATATGTTTCCATATTCTTTGCTGTATTTTGCATCAGCCACTTGTCTGTTTTGACCACCAAAACACTGAATATGGGATACATGTTTATATTTATATAAAAAGTTACTTTTTCAACATTGTGTCTATGTTACAGATTTTACATCCGGAAGTCCAAACTCTAGATCTGCGGAGCTGTGATATTTCAGATACTGCTCTCCTGCACCTGTGTAACTGCAGAAAACTGAAGAAACTAAATTTAAATTCCTCAAAAGGAAACAGAGTTTCCATAACTTCAGAAGGTATGTTTATTAACACTGAATAAATTGGCAAATTGCTATTCACCATCTGGTATAGCTGTGGAACAAGGAAGGGGAAAAATATGTCAAAAGAGAGTATAATGATATCTAAGAAATAGGAATTTCTATATTTGTTAGGTCCAGAGCCGAGAGAGAGACACACGAAGCCTCATGTATAGCAGAATGCTGTTTGTTTTGAGCATCTGGGTGCAGATGGGTGGAGGCCAAAGAGCAACCAAGAGAAAAAAGGGGAGAGAGCCTTGGGTTTTATAGAGGGGTTTCTCAGGGGGAGTAAGTAAGTGGGCCAGAACAGCCATTTGTAATTAATTCTTTTTCTAACAACCAGCTCCTAGGACCCCTGCCCCAGTCACATCCATCCTTCAGCTCTGTTGTCATCCTTATCAGGAGAACAAGGGAGGAATAATCTTGGTCTCTATCAGGGAGGGAGAGGGAAGGAATGCTGGCTGCAGCTGTCTGTTAAATTTACAAAATACGGGGACCCTCCAGACTCCTGTGGCTATTGTTTAATAAGCCTAAGTTTTGTGTTAACCACATTCTGTCCTGTACATACTTTCAGGTTCCCACCTGGAACAAACCTAACAATATTTATCAGTAAAAATATTCAAAAAATAAAAATAATCCAAATTGGAATTCTTGCTTATAACCAGTACTGCAAGAAATACATTGAGTAAGTCACTACCTTGTATTTTAAACATATGTAAATAAACATGGATGCATACATCTATATTTTATTTTATTTTGTTTTATTTTATTTATTTATTTTTTTTTTTTGAGACAGAGTCTCACTGTGTTGCCTGGGCTAGAATGCCGTGGCATCATCCTAGCTCACAGCAACCTCAAACTCCTGGGCTCAAGCGATCCTCCTGCCTCAGCCTCCCGAGTAGCTGGGACTACAGGCATGCGCCACCATGCCTGGCTAATTTTTTTCTATATATTTTTAGTTGTCCAATTAATTTCTTTCTAATTTTAGTAGAGACGGGGTCTCGCTCTTGCTCAGGCTGATCTCGAACTCCTGAGCTCAAACAATCCGCCCGCCTCGGCCTCCCAAAGAGCTAGGATTACAGGTGTGAGCCACCGCGCCCGGCCTACGTCTATATTTTAAATATTGTCCCTGGTATAGTGGAATAAGAAATGACCAGTTTGTATTTTGTTAAGGGCTTTTTGATGCCATATTATTAATACAACAGAATTAATCATCAGATTAAATTTGCAAGCGCTTTCCTATCAGTCTGTTCAATGCATAGTTTTTTATAGTCAGACAAATTGCATTTTTCATTGTTAGTATTACATGAATTAGTAGATTTTTTTTTTCTTTTTAGACCATTTCTTTCCAATATAGGATTTGTACTTTTTTTTCAGTATAAGAAAGAGGGACTTACTTGGCTAAATAGGTTTCTGGAAAATTTTGTGGGTAGTTGGGTATATTTTGCACTCATTTTGATTAGCAAATTAGGATATTCATAATATTGCAAACAAGCGTAAGGTTTTAAATGTTTACATAAATAATAACTCACTAGAAGGAACTTCTCCCCAAAACAAAGCATTCTTCTATACTCACACAACACTTCTGACAGCGAGTGTGTCGGTTTTTCCCACACCAATTCTCCAACTCTCGGAATGCCAGCTGGGTGTCCTACAATTGAATTCAATTTTGACGCTATCTACCTGGAGTGAGCATCAGATACCACAAGTTAAGGACTCAGTCCCACAAGACTGCCCCCACTTCAGATGCCAATCACAAGTCTGGGCCTCTGGTACTTATGGCTGACCAGCTATAAATCAGGGATTCCCACGACCTCCTCCATGGGTTCAGTAACTTAGCAGAATGACTCACAGAACTCAAGGAAACACTTAGGTTTACCAGTTTATTATGAAAAATTATAAAGGATACACATGAACAGTCAGATGAAGAATTCATAGGGTAAGGTCTAGAAGGGTCCCCAGGGGCAGGAGCTTCTGTTCCCATGGTGTTAGGAGTACACCATGTGAGGAAAGCTCATCAAGTCTTTTTCAAGAGCTTTTATAAGGCTTATTCCCCATACCCCCTTCCCAGAGGTCAGTGGGTGGGGCTGAAAGTTCTAACCCTCTAATCATTTGGTATTTCTGGAGAGGACCCCACGCTGAAGCTAAGGGCCCTACCCCATCACCTCATTAGCATGAACTCCAGTGTGATCAAAAGGGACCGTTATGAATAGCAGAAGATACTCCTGTCATTCAAGAAATTCCGGCCGGGCGCGGTGGCTCACGCCTGTAATCCTAGCTCTCTGGGAGGCCGAGGCGGGCGGATTGTTTGAGCTCAGGAGTTCGAGACCAGCCTGAGCAAGAGCGAGACCCCGGTCTCTACCAAAAATAGAAAGAAATTAATTGGACAGCTAAAAATATATAGAAAAAAAAAAAAATTAGCCGGGCATGGTGGCGCATGCCTGTAGTCCCAGCTACTCCGGAGGCTGAGGCAGAAGGATTGCTTGAGCCCAGGAGTCTGAGGTTGCTGTGAGCTAGGCTGAGGCCACAGCACTCACTCTAGCCAGGGCAACGGAGTGAGACTCTGTCTCAAAAATAAATAAATATTTTTTCTTAAGATATGGAAAATCATAAAAATGACCTACCATGAATTTACCGTCTTTCCTTTTGTGTTTTGTCCATGAAGTTGTCTTTCAAGAGTGCTACAATGTTTGTCCATGACTGAAGGGCCCAGGATCCCCAAAGTACTCTTCTATTTTGGGGGCAGTGTTATGCACCCATCTCCAATGTGCATTTATATCAGTTCAATTGCATTTAAGGACTTCTCTTTTCTTGACCCTCAGGAAAATATAAGATTGGTCCAGGCTAACAGAGAAGGAGCATGGTGGTAGAAAAGAAATCCATGTTTGAGCACAAAGTAGGGCAAGAGAAAATGCATAGGTATAGCTATGGATTTCTAACAATAAGCATGAAGACCATTACTTAAAACATTTGGGCAATTTAACTCTTGATTTCCCTCCAAAGTGCTCAAGAAAGTTAACTTTACTACTTTAAAATTTTTATTTAACCAAAAGGAGAATCATCTACTATTTAAGTAATTTAGTTCTGATTCTTGGCTATTTCCTAAAACCAAATCTACTTGTGCACAATAAAGGCTCTCCATTAATTGCAAATACTACAGGCTATGTAGGGAATTCCAAAAGAGTTTTGAATAATGACAGCATCACTGGAAAATAAATATATTCTCATAGATGGACTACTTTGAAAAAGGATAACATACAATTGGTGATTGCTAAAATGAAAATCAGTTACATTTCTCATATATATGTACATACATAGCTCATCGACATATAATTATGTTTTCCTCCAGGAGTAAAAGCTGTGGCTTCATCTTGTTCATACCTACATGAAGCATTGTTGAAAAGATGCTGCAATCTCACTGATGAAGGAGTCCTTGCTCTTGCACTCAATTGCCGGCTGCTAAAGATCATTGATTTAGGTGGCTGCTTAAGTATCACTGATGTGTCCTTACATGCATTAGGAAAAAACTGCCCGTTTTTGCAGTGTGTGGACTTTTCAGCTACTCAGGTAAATGAAATATAGGCTTGAAACATATGGACAATGTGTTTGCCCCGTGTATCTCCATGACCAAGTAAAAGAACATAATTCATTCTTTTCGTTTTGTTGAAATTTTTGACCACCTCATGCTTTTGGTGGTTAAATAATTACAATATGATTTTGCATATTCCCCTCAATTATTTTAAGTAACAGGGGTGGAAGGTGTGTATGGCTAAAACACCTTGTTGTTGAATGGGAGGCAATTAAACTATATCTAAATGATTACTTCTAGAAAATTCTATTTCCAGCATCTCCATTTATGGGCTGTTTCTTTTTCCCTTTGCTTAGGTATCTGACAATGGTGTGGTTGCGCTTGTTAGTGGACCTTGTGCCAAGATATTAGAGGTAATTTAAAAATAGCTCTGAAGATAATGGTAACTAAATTTTTATATTATTCTTAGAAATTATTTTTTAAACCTAGTAGACAACGAGTGACTTATCAATTAGATATTTCTGGACTTTTTTTCTTGTTTTTTTTGGGGGGCCTCCACCTCTTTATCCCAGAATAAAGAAAAACTGGTAAAGTTAGGAGATAAAATAAATGCTCTTTAAAAGAAAAACTCAGATGGGCACAGAGGCTCACACCTATAATCCCAGTGCTTTGGGTGGGCAAGGCAGGAGGCTCACTTGAAGCCAGGAGTTTGAGGCAGCCTGGGCAACACAGCAAGACCCCATCTCTACAAAAAAATTTAAAAATTAGCCAGATGTGGTGGTGCACACTGGTAGTCCCAGCTACTCTGGAAGCTGAAGTGGGAGGATGGCTTGAGCCCAGGGGTTGGAAGCTACAGTTAGCTATGATTGTACCACTGTACTTCAGCCTGGGTGACAGAGTGAGACCCTGTATAAAATAAAATAAAATAATAAAATAAATGAAATGAAATTTTAAAAATCTCATTTTACTTCCAATGAAAGTTTTTATTTCCCACAAATTTTAGCTTCTAACAGATTTAAGGATGGTCTTATTATGGGGCAATATTATGAAAGTTTATCAATATGTTCTTTAGGATTAGTATATTCTTTAGGATTTCATGTCTGACTGATACTTCTATTAGGACTACTAATTCTCTTGCTATCCTGTTTTTCTTGGTAGTCACAGTGTACAGTCATTTAAGAAGGTCTTAAATTAGTGTTCAGCCTTTGAATTTAATGATTGATGTAGCACCTATAACCTGTTTCTAACTCGGTTAGGAAGCCTTTTAGCCCAGGATTTTGTTTTCTTCCTTTCCCAATTGACAGTGGTTTGTTTGTTTAATATAGCTGTGCTTTTTACAGTAAACCACATCAGATCCTTTTTTGGAAGTAAGCAGGCTATAAATGAATTACAAAAGTTAGTAATAATAACTGTTATAATAGAATGACAGTGCTGTGTTTTTGCCAAAATATTTCTCCTTAAGTTATTGCTCAAAGAGACTCTTTTTTGTGATATTTATCTATCTGGGTCCTGCTTGCCTTGTTAACATATATATTTCTAGAAATGTTTTTATTAAGAAATTACCATATTATTCTTATACCAAGTTCAAATTCTAAATTGCATCCTAAACCAAGGCTAGTAATTTTTTTACTATTTTAAATGTCAACATTTGTTGAGCACTTACTATATTCCAGGCTCCATGCTAACTGCCTTATATTAACTAGGTTGTTTAATTATTATAACATTATCCTATAATCACCATAATTTTTAATAAAGTTGTCAAATAGTTAACATAGTTTATCACCATCTAATAAAAACACCAGGAAATTAGTTGTTATGCAGTGCTATGCTAGAAAATATACTTACATATTTACCTCAACATTATAAAATTAAGAATACCAACCTAAGCAGAATTAGGAAAAAATACAAGTACCAATAAGTGTTGGTGATTGTAGTGCTATATCGTTGACTTTTTCATTTTTTCAGTTTTCCCAGCTACTTGGGAGGCTGAGGCAGGAGTTTGAGGTTGCAGTGAGCTATGATGACACCACTGCACTCTAGCCCAGCAGACAGAGCAAGACGCTGTCTCAAAAAAAAAAAAAAAAAAAAAATTCGTCTAATGCTTAATGTATACATTTATTGTAGTATTGTTTCTTTGCTTCTAAAAAATTGATATTAAATGGTATACATATTATAATCAATCACATCATACAAATAAAGGAAACCTGTGCATTGAAAACTCATAAAAATTGAGGCAAAAAGCATCCTATGTTATAAATTGGCAAAGATAGCCTATGATATAAACTGGTAAAGGCTATAGACAAAAAAAATTTGGTAATTTTTATACTGCCATGTAACCACCACCACAATCAAGATATGGAACGTTTCCATCACCCTAAAAAGTTTTCTCCTGTCCCTTTGTAGTTGATCCCATTCTGTGACCCTCCCCCCAGGCAACCACTGATTTACTTTGTCATAGTTTTGCCTTTTCTACAATTTTATATAAATGAAATCATTCAGAATATAGTCTTTTCTTTTTACTTCTTTCTTTTACTTTACTTCTTTCACTTAGTATAATGTTTTGAGATTGATCCATGCTATTATTGCATATGTTAATATTTCACTGCCTTTTATTGCTGAGTAGTATTCCATAGAATGGATATGCCACAATTTGTTTATACTTTCACCATCTGATGGACATTTGGGTCTTTCCAATTTTATACTATTATGAATACTGCTACAGACATTTTCATGCAAGTCTCTATGTAGACATACATTTTTATTTTTCTTTGGTAAATACCTAGGAGTAAAATTGCTAGGGCATATAGTAAGTACATGTTTAGCTTTATAAGATACTACCATACTGTTTTCCAAAGGATATGAACTAACGTGTTTGAGATTTATGACTATTAGACAAGTAGATATTTTTCATTTTAAATGTTTTATCTTATTCTATTAATAAACCATTTATTTACCCATTCTCACCTTCTATACTATTACATGTAATATTGTAATGGGCATATTTATGAATTGTTTCATTGTGTACATGTTTCTCTATAGTATACATCTACAATTGGAATTGCTGTGTTCTATGGTATACTTATATTCAGCTTTAATACATATTGCCACATTACTTTATAAAAGGGTTGGGCATTTAGCTTTTAAAGCGGCTTTACCTTCCAAATTTCTTCAGATTTACATTGGTTCTTTCTATATAGTTTTTTTCTTGTAAGTAGCTGTTTGGTTCTTTTTGTGTCAGAGTGTTTTCCAAACTTTTTCATACCATTATTATAGACCTCCTTTTGTTTTGATTTTATTTTCTTTATTTTTAAATAGGAGATCCATATGGGACATTGTGTAAATCTAACTGATGGAGCTGTGGAAGCTGTCCTTACTTATTGCCCTCAGATACGTATATTACTCTTCCATGGATGCCCCCTAATAACAGGTTAGTCCGATAGACTGCTTGGGTTCAAATCCTGGCTTCATCTTTTACTAACTGTGTGACCTTGAGTAAATTACTTAACCCATTCCATTATTCAGTTTCCTCATGTGTAAAATGGGCATGATGATGGTACCTACTTCATCGGCTTGGTCATGATGATTATCTCACAACTCTTCATATGGTGCCTCACACATAATAATAGCTCAATAAATGTTAATTATGATGGTGGTGGTGATGGTGATGGTGGTGGTGGTGGTAAGTGCTCAATGTTATCTATGATGAGGATGATGATGGCAGCAGTGGTCGTGATCATGATATTGAACATGATGCTTCATGTAGATAATAAAAATTTTCAAGTTTATGATATTGCATTTATCAAATATGCAAAATGACCTGTTAACTGTTATCAAGCTGTAGACACTGAGATCAGAATAATTTGGACTCTTAGGCTAATGTGGTTCTTCACTAAAGGAGAACAAAGTAGACATAGCCCATTTGGGCCTGTTTGAGAGCCACGATACTATATATCACCCTTCTCCAGAAACCATGGCACCTCCCCGTTTCACATTACCCCTATAATGGCTCCTATACCATAACATAAATTGGATCTCACTTGTAAATCGGTAGTTATGCCCAGTCCTTCCCGCTCGTTTCTATAATTATAGTCTAAACAATTATCCTCTAGTTCAAGTTACTATCCTGGAAGTCCCTTTGACAACTTTTCTATCCTTTCTTATGTTTGGACTCCCAGTCTTAACCAAGGCAGCAACCTTGGGTTGTATTTGGGTATCAGTGACATCTGTAGTGAAGATTAGATCTTATTTTAGGCAAAGAAATTTCTCAAGAAACTAGAGCCAAAAGAGTGACATAGGAAGCTGTTAACAGTGGTTACCTCTAAGGAAAGTTGTGAAGGGACAGGAGTAGGAAGAAGACTTCACCATATACCCTTTTGTACCTTTTGAATTTTGTATCATGTGCATGATTTTAAACTATTAAAAATGAATAATAATGCAGCCCACATCTACCCATAGGAAACTCATGCTTTAGACCAGCCAACTGTGGCCTGAGGTTTGGGGACACAGCTTCAGACAATGAGTTTGCTGGTATTTTCCAACCTCGGTCCCCTCTTTAGCTGCCTTGACTCTCACTACAGCCTTTTTCCCTTTAGTTTTCTTAGGTGTGGCTCTGATATTAGTATACCATGTCCCCCAAGCTCCAAGGATGTATCAGACTCTCCAACTGATCTCCTTAGAACCCCTTTTACTAGGCTTGAGGGGAAGAGAAAGCACCCCTAGCCTTCTTTCTAAAACTCAAATTACAGCTGTCTTCAAAGAAATCTTCTTGTCAATTTCCAACTCTCCATCCCTTTCCACTTTAACACTTTCATATTTTTGAATGGATGAAACCATGGATTCTAAAATCCATTTTAAGTCAAGCATTTACAAGTCATGAATAGATTTATCTGGTATCTCTTTTTGGAATGAGAGTACCTGGTACCTCTAATCCTGGAACCTTAGCTAAAATAGTTCCATTTTAATGTTCTGTTATATTTGTCTCAGGGTAGCTTGGCTATACAACATGTTATAAAATCAAACTTTGCTAATTTTACCTTAATTGTCTTTCTGGTTACTGTTTGAAAATAATTAAATTGGCATTTTCCTTCTACTTTTAATAGATGTCAAGTCATAAAAAGAAATATACAATCAACTAAGAAAACTTATTCTTAGGTAAACTGCTTAAAGCAATTATCAAAGACCTTATAAGTAATGAAATCTTTAGAAGGAAACACCAAAAATTTGTACATTTAAAACCAATATTACAAGTTTAAATGTGCCTGGATTAATATACAGACGGTCCCCAACTTAAACAATGAGTCAATTTATAAGTTTTCACCTTCACAATGGCGTGTGTGAAAGTGTTACACATTCAGTGGAAACCATACTTCACGTACCCATGCAACCATTCTGTTTTTCACTTTCAGTATAGTATTCAGTAAATTATATGAGATAGTCAATATTTTATCATAAAATAGGCTTAGGCTAGGTGCAGTGGCTCACTCCTATAATCCTGGCACTTTGGGAGAACAAAGAGGGAGGATTATTTGAGGCCATGAGCTCAGGACCAGCCTGACCAACATAGCAAGACCTCAATCTCCATAACTAAATAGGAAAAAAAATTAGCTGACCGTGGTGGCATACAACTATAGTCCCAGCTACTTGGGATACTGAGGCAGGAGGATCACTTAAGCCCAGGAATTTGAGGGTTGCAGTGAGCTATGATGACACTACTGCACTCTAGCCTGGGCAACAGAGCAAGACCCTGTCTCAAAACATAATAATAACAATTAAAAAATAGGCTTTGTGTCAGATGATTTTGCCCAACTGTATGCTACTTAAGTGTTCTGAGCATGTTTAAGGTAGGCTAGGCTAAGCTGGGATGTTCACTAGTATTGATGTATTAAATGCATTTTTTTATGTGGGTTATATTTGTTAAATTAAAATTTCAATTAGCCGGGCATGGTGGCTCACGCCTGTAATCCTAACACTCTGGGAGGCTGAGGCAGGAGGATTGCTTGAGATCAGGAGTTCGAGACCAGCCTTAGCAAGAGAAGGACCCCATCTTTACTAAAAATAGAAAGAAATTAGCCAGACAACTAAAAATAGCCTGTAGTCTGAGATACTCAGAAGGGTGAGGCAGGAGGATTGCTTGAGTCCAGGAGTTTGGGGTTGCTGTGAGCTAGGCTGATGCCATGGCACTCTAGCCCCGGCAACAGAGTGAGACTCTGTCTCAAAAAAAAAAAAGAAAGAAAGAAAAAAATTTTCAATTAAAACAAATTTTAATAGGCATTCATTTTTTTTAAATAATAAACCTATAAACTTATTACATGGAAAAGACAGAAGTATTTTCATTCAGATCATCACTTTTCAAATCACTGGGAATATTTTGATATTACCCCAAAACTCAGCAAGTGATAGTTTCTTAAAGGTTAGTTGCACTGTGGAAGTTGAAAACATGTGAATGAACTTTTCATACATTTACATTATAATCTACTAGGCTGTCTTGAATTTGAATTGCTCTTTTACCCACGCATGATTTTATAACATCATGCATTGGCAGTTTGGAAAATATTAGTTTTCTCAGTTATATAAATCTTCCAAATGTTAGCACATTTCATTATACAAAAAAAAAAATTATTTGTTAATATCACCATTGATCTCATTAGAAAGGTACTGGATAGCTTTAAATATCATAGTGGCAGCTACAAGTTTTCCAAAATTCACTTGAAAGCTAGAGTTTTATCACTGTCAACAAATTCTGTCCTTTGTTTTCTTTGAAGTGACAGGCTCATTTCACTCTTTTTCAAGAAATAGTCTGCCAAGTACCCAAGTGAGAATAACCTTAAGCTGTCAGTCATTCTTTCAAGTAAAAGTGATGGTCCATGAAAAAAGTGACTAGTTCAGTTCACAAAAGGATACACAGACCACACTTTAAGAACCACTGCTTTATGGTAAAGAAAAATCCTCAATCAATTTCAGCATTTGAAGTAAAAACAGCATATCCTTTTCAAATTATTTCTTATATTTTCACATGATTGCTGGAAGCGGTAGAAGTAGACATCTAAATAGCAGGAGTTCAAAATATTTGGGATAGAGGAAAGGAGAGAAGGCAGGAAGAAGGCAAGGGACATTACAACCATGCTGTGCTGTATGAGAAGAACCAAACAGGTTGAAAAGAATGATGAAGACCAAAAGATTGAACAAGATGGTATCAAACCAGAAGATAAAGCTCATAAGGCCGCGACCAAAATTCAGGCTAGCTTCCGTGGACACATAACGAGGAAAAAGCTCAAAGGAGAGAAGAAGGGTGATGCCAAGCCGCTGAGGCTGACGCGAATGAGAAGAAGGAGGAAGCCCCTGTTGCTGATGGGGCGGAGAAGAAGGGAGAAGGCGCTGCTACCACGGAGGCGGCCCCCGCCACTGGCCCTAAGCCCGATGAGACCGGCAAGGCAGGAGAAGCTCCTTCCGAGGAGAAGGGGGAGGGTGCCCCCGATGCTGCCACAGAGCACGCAGCACCCCAGGCTCCTGCACCCTCAGAGGAGAAGGCCGGCTCAGCTGAGACAGAAAGTGCCACTAAAGCTTCCACTGATAACTCGCCGTCCTCCAAGGCGGAAGATGCCCCAGCCAAAGAGGAGCCTAAACAAGCCGATGTGCCTACTGCTGTCACTGCTGCTTCTGCCACCACCCCTGCTGCAGAGGATGCTGCTGCCAAGGCAACAGCCCAGCCTCCCCCGGAGACTGCAGAGAGCAGCCAAGCTGAAGAGAAGATAGAAGCTGTAGATGAAACCAAACCTAAGGAAAGTGCCCAGCAGGATGAGGGTCAAGAAGAAGAACGCGAGGCTGACCAAGAACATGCCTGAACTTTAAGAAATGGCTTTCCACGTCCCTTCCCTCCCCTCTCCTGAACCCTGTCTCTCCCCACCCTCTTCTCAGCTCCACTCTGAAATTTCCCTTCCCGTCCTGCTCACGTCTGTGAGTCTGTCCTCTCCCACCCACTAGCCCTCTTTCTCTCTGTGTGGCAAACATTTAAAAAAAAAAAAAAAAGAGCAGGAAAGATCCCAAGTCAAACAGTGTGGCTTAAACATTTTTTGTTTCTTGGTGTTGTTATGGCGAGTTTTTGGTAATGATGATCCAATCATTTTGGGAAATTCTTGCACTGTATCCAAGTTTTTTGATCTGGTGCATGTGGCCCTGTGGGAGTCCACTTTCCTCTCTATTTCTCTCTGTTCCAAGTGTGTGTGCAATGTTCCGTTCATCCGAGGAGTCCAAAATATCGAGTGAATTCAAAATCATTTTTGTTTTCCTCCTTTTCAATGTGATGGAATGAACAAAAAGGAAAAAAATTCAAAAACCCAGTTTGTTTTAAAAATAAATAAATAAAGCAAATGTGCCAATTAGTGTAAAAAAAAAAAATTAAGGATAGAATAACAATATTTTTTACCTAGAAGATCACTTAGTTCAGCTCTTACCAACAGTGTTACTGTTATGTAAATGATCCAAAAGTGGCCTTTGGGGCTCTGTGTTGTTTACTTCCTCACAGCAGACCAGGACCATTAGTCAAAAGCCTGCCAGCACCAAACTGGATTTTTTACACATCCAGTTGTTTTAAATATAGCCTAAGTAAGCATATTTTTAGCCATCTAAAGCTTGCCTGCTTTGCATACCCTGCAAACTACACCCAACATTTATTTACCCATAGATAAAATAAAATGTAGGACTATAAAAGACCCCAAATTATGGCTGCCCTTTGGAGTTCTCTAAGCCAGAGACTCCCCATCTTGCTGCGGAACAACATTATGACACATAAACCCTCTGTCCAGTGCTCCAGGAATTCCTTTATCCTCCTCCCTTTCTGAGCAGTGGCTCCCCTACACTGTTGCCCTTGGAAAAAAATCACATGCTGTGAGGGACTTCCCCTGCATGCAAACCTGTCAAAGTTCTGCCCAAATAAAACTTGTTGTGTCCTACTGCCACCTTGTGGTCATATCTTTTCCCTTGTTCTGCCCTGAAATCCTTCAAATTCTCTACATGGCTTGGCATTCTAGAAGACGTGCATAGGTATAGCATAAAACAAAAAGTCCAAAAAGTTTGCAAAGTGCAACATACCTACAATGAATGTTAATTTATCAAAGCCTTTGAGAAATACCATAGCTAAGAATTGTTTAACTTTGTTTATCCAAGCATTTTCCAATTTTTAGCACAGAACACTTTTTTGACCTAGCCAACTCATTCATCATATTTTATCGTGTTATTTTCCTGATCCCTGATTTCACAGAATAAGAAAGTGAGATACTGAAATGTTACTGGCCCAATGTGACACCTCATTTAATAATAGTGTCAAGACAAAAACTTAAATCTCAAAATGTAGAGAAATGAGCACTGATCCTGTCCTCTGCCATCTCTCCAAAACTTTAAATAAATCACTTAACTTTTATGTATCTCAACTTCCCCTTGTGTATAATGGTCAATCATCATAACTTTGAGAGAGCTGATAATAAGGCAAGAGTTCATACACAATAACTTTTATGAATAAAGATTCTTGAAAGAGAAAAAAGCTGAAAGTTTATTAACTACCCAGATCATCTCTACTCTTCCCCCTTTCCCATAAATACCCCTAAATCTGCTACTATTAATATAACATATTTTTGCTACTGTTACTGAGTGGAAATAAAGTAGGCTAATATATACACCTTATATTAAATTTTTAATTTCCTCTTTCTCCAAAGAAGATGATAAATACTTTTTTTTTTAATTTAGTAAATGAAAGTCCTTTCTTCTTTCATGACACCTTACATAACTTGTTTTCTCTTATGTATTTATGTGATTGCTCGTATGAGTATTTAAGATAGTACAATTCATATTTTATAGAAAGTATTTACTATGCTTGCATATGCACGTGCAATTATATGTTATCTGCAAAGCAACCTGACCCCCAAATAAACAGTGTCCCCTATAATCTCCCACCAGATTCCCTGACTTAACCCACCTTCTCTACTATACTTCTAAATATTTATAAAATTTCTTAACCTTCATCAGACTTTAAGCAGAGCTCCACATTATGGATTAGGTCTTGAAACTGTTAGAAGCACTCTGACTTGATTTCTGCAAAAGAGATTAAAAACTAAGCTGCTATTTGAAATATTGTAAATCACACTGTTGTTTTTATAGATGTTATGAAAGCATGAAAATTTGTAAACTTATTAAATTATTTTTAATTCAATTATGTCTGCAGTGGTTATCAGTAAGTTCAACTTACATACCTTTGTTAATCTATAACAGACATGCATTTCAGTTTCTCATAATTATCTGAACATGTTTCACGGTTTTCAAAGACATGGAGGCAATAAAGCAATCAGACAGCAAGAGAGTCCTTATGTTTTACATTGAAAGGCAAGAAAATCCAACAGGAAATCTGCCACTTTTAATTGAGTTGACTTGAATTTTAGTAACATCTGAGGATTTGTTTCAGCCTGATTATAGGCAAGTTCTTTACTTAGATTTTTTATAATACATATGTCAAGATTTACCACAAAGAGCACCAAGAAAACTATTTTGAGACTAGAGTGATTTGCTTCAGAGTTTCCCTTCAATTAAAGCTGGTTCTTTGCTTAAAAGACAACTCTTTTTTTTTTAATTTCATATTTTTTCTTTTTCTTAATCTTACGTTATTGTTTCCTCATTATTATTCAATCACTTATTACTAATCCAGCATGACAGACTTCATTATGCCAGACTACTGTAATGCAACATTTGAACTTTGATCATTATTTGTAAATATGTGCCCAGCCTTGCTTTTCTCACTGTATTCTACAACAATGTCTAAATTACATTTTCCTTGAACATTTGAAAAAATTACTTTGTTAAATGTTTATATTCCCCATAGTTTCTTCTTATTCTTGGTGCTTTAAATGCTTCTGCAATGAATCTTTCAAAAAAAGCGTCTCTATCTAATTGTCATAAATTTTTAGAGAGTTGGTGAATAGTTCCTTAGAGGTGGTGGGGCAGAAAGGTGAAATACCTTCCCTCACCCATCATAAGGGTCAAGGCTGACAGTCTTATAACAAAAGACAGGTTAACAAGAGAAAAGAATAAAAGATTTATTGAATCAAAGTTTTGTGGGAGACTTCAGAAATGAAGAATCAAAGACCAAGGGAAAACTGTTGGTTTTTATTCTTAGCTTCCATGAAATATGGACAGCTGTCTACACAGAAATGTGATTGGACAAGAAGGGAATGATCTGATAGTAACAGATGGAGTGGGGAAAACCAGCAAGGCCTGTCTGTCCCGATCCTTCTTGTCCTTTCTGTGTGGCATTCCTTTCTCCAGGGTATAGGGCAGGACTTCTTTAGAATGAGAGTCTTATGACTTCTTATCAGACAAGGGTAGGTCACAGCATTTCTTTGTGGCCAACTCCTAAGCAGAAAGGTAGGAGAAGGTTAGAGTAATTTCTAGGTTTTGCAGCTTGCTTTGGAGAAAAGGAGTTCCAGTTTCTATGAACCACCTCTGGGGAGAGGAATCCTGGTTTCTATGACTAACTTTGGAGGAGAATGAGGGGCAAGAGACAGAAGGATAGGAGGGGATCAGAGACCTTGATTCTGAGGCCGATTCTAGACCTCCCAATGTCCTTTAGTTCAAAGCACTCAGCATAACAAAGTGCCATACTTTGGGGTATCATTTTCTGAGCCCCAACAAGATCATCTATACAACTCCCTCCTTTTAAAGATAAGGGAACAGAGAGATACAACCAATTTAAATGGCTTGCCCCAGATCTTAGAAATAGTTGATAGAACTGGAGGTAGAGGCCAGGCATGGTGGTTCACACCTGTAATCTTAGCACTCTGGGAGGCTGAGGTAGGAAGATCCCTTGAGGTCAGGAGTTTGAGACCAGCCTGAGCAAGAGGGAGAACGCTGTCTCTACAAAAAATAGAAAAATTAAGCAGGCGTGGTGGCATGGTTCTGTAGTCCAGCTACTTGGGAGGCTGAGGCAGGATTGTTTGAGCCCAGGAGTTTGAAGTTGCTGTGAGCTATGATGACGCCACTGCACTCTAGCTGGGGTGACAGAGCAAGATTCTATCTCAAAAAAAAAAAACCTAGAAGTAAAACCTAAATCATCTGACCCAGAATCTATAATTCTTTCCTGAGCCTTTAGTGTAAAATGGCTTAACTGTTACCAGGAAAGGGAAGGCAATAGGAAGATGACATCAACCATCAGTAGTTTGATTGATGTAAGTGAACTTTTAGCTCTTTTTCTGTCTGGAGAGTCTGTGTTTCTATAAAGTGGTCTGCCAAGGGATCATGAAATACTTAGAGACCCCACAGTTTCTCCCTGTAGCATAATACACTCACAGGAATTGAATATTCCTACTATTTAAACCAACAGTCCTAATACTGTTTCATGGAAAGAAACTGCCTAAGGAGGCTGTAATGCAATACTGCCATCTAGCATCAAAAATTTTAAATTACATAAAAATGTTATATACTTTCCATTGGAGGGAAAAGCATCTTCCTATTATGTGCACTAGTAAATTCCTACAGAAGAGTTACAAAGTAGTCAGAAAAAAAAAATGTATATATAATGTTTGATAATATGTTCACAACTAGCAAAAATGTCAAAATAATCCTAGAAACACCAGCTAAAATGAAATTGGAAAGTATAAGTCTCCAATTTTGTTCTTTTTCAAAATTGTATTGACTGTTTGGGTCCTTTCAATTTTCATATAAATATTAGAATCATTTTATCAATTCCTTGCAAATAATAAAAAGCCTGCTGGGATTTCAATAGGGATTGTATTGAATCGGTAGATAATTTAGGGAGTATTGCTATGTTAAGAATATTGTCTTCTGATCTGTGAACATAGATATCTTTCCATTTACTTAGATCTTACTTCTTTCAACAGTGTTTTGTAGCGTTCAGAGTATAAGTTTTTCACTTTTGTTAAATTTATTCCTAAGTAGTCTATTCTTTTTGATGGTAATATAAATGGAATTATTGTCTTAATTTCATTTTTGGATTATTCATTGCTGGTATATAGAAATACATTTGATTTTTGTATATTGCTCTCGTAACTTTCACCCCTGCTAAATTCATTTATTAGTTCTAACTTTTTTAGTGAATTTCTTGGGATATTCTATTTACAATATTACATTATCTACAAATAGTTTTATGTCTTCCTTCCAACCTGAATGCCTTTTATTCCTTTTTCTTGTCCAACTTCTATGGCTGGAACCTTGTGTACAATGTTGAATAGAAATGGCAAGAGTGGATATCCTGATCTTGTCTTGATTTTAGGGGGAAAACATTTAGTCTTTTGTCATTAAGTATGATACTAGCTATGGGTTTTTCATATGTGCCCTTTTTCAGGTTGAGGAAGTTCCCTTCTATTCCTAGTTTGTTGAATGTTTTTATCACTAACATTGGGTTTTGTCAAATGGTGTTTCTGTGTCTATTGAGTTGATCATGTGGTTTTTGTTCTTTATCTTATGACATGGTATGTGGGGTAGGTAGAATAATGCTCCCACCCAAAGATGTCCGTGTTCTAATGCCCAGAATGTATGTCAGATTACATGAGGTTATAGATGGAATTAAAGTTGCTAATCAGTTCATCTTAAAATAGGGAGATTATCCAGATAGGCCCAATGTAATCATAAGGGTCCTTAAAAGTGGAAGAGGGCAAGAGAAGAAGAACCATAGAGATGGCATCATGAGGACTCTGCCCAATGTTGCACACTTTGAATAAGCAGGAATGCAAAGAATATGGTGGTCTCTAGAAGCTGGAAAAGTCAAGGAAGTAGAGTCTCCTGTAGAGCCTCAAAAAAAGAATATAGACCTATTGACACTGATTTTAGCCTAGTGAGACCCATTTTGGACTTCTGACCTTCAAAGCTGTATGATAATAAATTTGTTGTTTTTACTACGAAGTTTGTGGTAATTTGTTACAGCAGCAATAGGAAACCAATACAGTATTATCGCACGATTTTTAGATGAGTATTAAACTAACCTTGCATTCTTAGGACAAATCCTGGTGGGTTATGGTATGTAATCCTTTTCATAGTTGCTGGATTTGGTGTGCTGGCGTTTTGTTGAGTTTTGAATCTGTATTCATAAGAGATCTTTGTCTGTAGTTTTCATCATATGTGATGTGTTTGTCTGGCTTTGGTGTCAGGGTAATACTGGCCTCACAGAATGAGCTGAGAAGTGTTCCCTCCTCTTTTATGGTTACTCCGGCTTTGTATGGTTGCTGTTTATATATCTTTGTCCACCCTTTTACTTTCAACCTATTTGAAACCTATATTTAATCTAGATTTCCTGTATAATAGATTTCCCCTATAATAGCTAATGAAATTTTTATGATCATGAATAAAACTGCATTTATCTTACTAGCTGCTTTTTTAAAAAATTTGATGTAAACCTTGGTTTTCCAGATGATAATAACTTGTCATTTCAACACACTCTGGTTCTTTTGCTTTCAAAAAACCTTGGTATTTTGATTTTTTTTTTTTTTTTTTTGCTTAAAATAAAATTTAGTAACCATATCTGGTAGACCCACTTTTTTTTTTCTACTGGACTGTGAAAGCTGTAAGTCTAGGAACCACTAAATTAGAGAATTTCCAAGAGTAGGTTAGCGATATGATGTACATGTGACATAGGTCGTATCTATGGAACAAGTTTGTTAAACTTATAATTTTTAAGGTAATAAATTTGTATCAGTATTTTTACTTTAATTCAGATTTTTAAAACACATTCTAAAACTGACTTTGCAAAAGAGATAGAAACTATATCAAAATTACTACTATACATTGTGAAAAATTGGAAACATCTGAATGTCCAATAAAAGGTTACAGTAAGCTATAGTCATGCCACTGCACTCCAGCCTGAGTGACAGAGCAAGACCCTGTCTCAAAAAAAAAAAATGTCCAATAATATAAAGTGGTTAAATTATGATGCATTCATATAATAGTTATTTATTAAAAGTCATGGTTTATAATAGTATTGAACGGACGTGGAAAAATAGTCAACTTGCCACATTCCATTATAGTAAATGTTACCTCTTCTAACCTTCTGGGCATGTTGTAGCTTCCAGAGGTGGTTTAACATACCTCTGGCTTTCCTTAATCCTGCTCACTCCTTTGTAAATACTCCCTTTTTTAAGCCCTGTTCGGTCACCCCACTGTACTGTATTATCTATTTCCTGCTAAGACCCTGAGAAAGGTTATACACAGGTTAATCATGAAATTATGCTGGTCCTCTCTGGTTGGTGAAATCGAGATGAAATTACAGAGAAAATAACAAATGCCTATTTTTTTAAAAAGTATTACTATGGGCCGGGCACGGTGGCTCACACCTGTAATCCTAGCACTCTGGGAGGCCGAGGCAGGAGGATCACTCGAGGTCAGGAGTTCAAGACCAGCCTGAACAAGAGCAAGACTCCGTCTCTACTAAAAATAGAAAGAAATTATCTGGACAACTAAAAATATACAGAAAAAATTAGCCGGGCATGGTGGTGCATGCTTGTAGTCCCAGCTACTTGGGAGGCTGAGGCAGTAGGATCGCTTGAGCCCAGGAGTTGGAGGTTGCTGTGAGCTAGGCTTAACACCATGGCACTCTAGCTCGGGCAACAAAGCAAGACTCTGCCTCCAAAAAAAATGTATTACTATGGTAGATATACTATACTTAATAATAGTGATGAATAATAATTATTAATGAATCATTCAGTTGTATACTATGCCTTATATATCATCTCATTTAATCCTTTAAATAACTCTATGAGATATAATAGCTATCATCTCTCCTAGTTTATACATGAGGAAATATTAAATATTTTTGATTATTGTGAAGTAATATATTGTCATTGTTTTCTTTTATAGATCATTCACGAGAAGTCTTGGAGCAATTAGTAGGCCCAAACAAACTTAAGCAAGTGACATGGACTGTTTATTGATGGTATTGAAGCTTATCAAAGCTGTGAAAGCTTATCAAAACTACTTTCCCAGGAAATGGTCTATAGAGAATTATTTTCCACTTAATTTAACACTATTTTATTATTTTATTGTCTTATTTAAGCTATAACTCTCAGAGAATCAGCTAAATCTCAGTATATACATGGTTTGTGCTTTGAAGTTAACAAGACTCTCAAACATTTTAATGGTGTTATTATTCTATATCTGTTGGCCGAGTCATTATTTTTGAAATAGTAATCCTAGCATGAACTCTGATATGGGGGGTGGGAGTTGTTTCTTTAATAACAAAGTTTTAAATTATCTCTTTTCCCTCAAGATTTTCTTCTCCTACATAGGTATTTGAGCTGTTGTAAGAAAAATTTGCCAATATGGATAAAGTTTAGGAGAATTCTAAGTAAAAATATTTCTAAAGGCAAAATTACCTTCCTAACTATTTTCTGGCTCTTACCTCCCTGAAGTATTTCAATGTCCATTTGCCAAAAGCACAGCTGAACATCAGGCCTGTTAATTCTTCTCAGAATTTAAATATTTCTTTGTTTCATTGAAATGAAGTGATTTATTAGCCATTCAGCATATTAATATTACTGAGGCCCTTGCCCAGACACTTAATTCACTGATTTTTATGGCTACTCTTCCCAAATACATTTTATTCATCTGTAAACTTTTCTTCCTCAGCAAAATTGCATTCAGAAATGTATAAAAATGAGTAAATACAGAATAGCATTACAGAGACTGTATTCTTGAAGCTCTATTGAGTTCATATTTTCACATTTTGACATAAACAGCAAAGGTCTTAGTTTTCAAATGAAAACTCTTTGGTAATCACAAAATTATCTGACACATACCATGCTGAAACTAACCCCTAACTTAGCATACTTCCTGTGCCATGAGCCTGTCTCGATGGGACTGTCTTAAAGTTATTTCTTGTTTTACCTCTGATGTAGTAAAAAACAGGGAAAAGTATGGTATGGTAAGTTTCTTGTGCATGTTTAGTGGGAGGGAACATATTCAACTCTGTTTCTTGTCCTTACTATTTATAAATGTGGTATGTTTACAGTGTGAATATATATATTGCCACTACAAAGGTGGTACATATGCATATATGTGTAAAATAGGTAAGGCCTGTTCTATCTATGAAATTTTTCTAAAGACAAATTCAATAAAATTTAATATTGAATGTCTAACCAAGTCAATAGCATTTTCCTCTTTTCACAGAAACTAGTTTCAAGATCTAAGGTGTGAGCTTCTTAGGGTCTATAAAAAATTTATCTTCCTAAAGAACTTTATGGTTTGATCTTATTTTATACTGTTAGTTATATTAGCTATTTCTCACCACTCTGTTTAAAATATCAGTACCCCATCCCAGACCCAGTACCCCCTATCGGCCTTACCTCTTTATTTTTCTCCTTACTATCTGTCATCATCTGATACCTGTTTTATTTTATTATCTGTCTCCCCACCCTAATACATAAATTTCATGAGGATAAAATAGTTATCTCTTTTTCTTCATTGCTGTATTACCAGTTCCTAGAATAATGCCTGGTACATAATAAACACTCAAATATTCATTGAATGAATGAACAGGAGAGAAATAAAAGAGGAAAGAAACAAAAGTAATGCCCATAGTTCTGGTTTCCAGTCTAATTCATATCTTCCAATATAAAGAGATTGGAAGTCATCGCTCCCATCCTCACAACAAGAAAAAAAGCTGAATAAACTGAAAAATCAAATTCATAGATCTATCAGAGAATTGAGGTCAAAGGGAAAACCAATGCCTCACAAATTGGAAAGACAGATGAAAACAAAGGATCACAACAGAAGCCTGCTGCAGGAGCTGGTACCAGCAGGAACACTTAAACTATAATTCATGAGTTGCTGGATGCTCTGTGTGGATGAACTTGGGAGTTAAAAACTCCAGGGGTCTATAAATGTTATCGAACCTGTGGTAGCCCTGGAATCACTCTGAACCTAGTCTGACTCTGGGGGCTGCCTGATTCGCAAATCACTCTTTGCTCAATTAAACTCTCTTCAATCAAAAAAAGAAACTCTAGGGGCCCCAGTCCTAGGGGAGATGACACCACATTTTCATGAGTTTTACCTGCAGGAGATCTACCAGGTTTTCAAGGTAAAGGTCAGAGAAAAACCCCTTCTTACTTCCAGCAGGGGGAGGGGGAAAGTAACCATTTTGAAATATGGCCAAGCATCCTGTTCTCCTTAACAAAAGCCAGGTCTCAAGGGAAACTATTTTACCAGAGCCTAACTGATCTGGGGGAAAGAGTACCCAACTCCAGCCCATCTAGATTTCTTATCTCACCAAAGGGGGCAAAATAAAAGTTGAGAAGCACTTGTGAAGGTCACAGCCCAGGGGCACAGACTGACTCAAAGGCTAAGACCTAATCACAGGAGTACAGAACACATCCCCTTCTCCCATAACTTACACCACATCAGTCGGGCTGCAGTGTAATAACAGGGAGTACAGCTGAAAGAACTGCAAGTCTCAGCCTCTATGTAAGAAGGAATTGCTAGGGAAACCAAAAAATAACAGGGGGACAAAAACAAGAACACTAAAGGAAATGTTAACCTCTGACACCCATGCTACAGCAAATAGTAACTCTACCCAGACTGAAAAAAAAAAAACCAAAAAACTCACACCGCCTCAGTTTACCTGTTTCTTTTACCCAACACGTCATGTCCAGCTATCAACAAAAAATTACAAGGCATGCTAAAAGATAAAAAAACAATCTGAGGAAACCAAGCAAGCATCAGAACCAGACTCAGATATGGCAGAGATTTTAGAATTATCAGATCAGAAATTTAAAATAACTATGATTAACAAGCTGAGGGCTATAATGAGAAAAACAGACAACATGCAAGAACAGATAGATAGGCCGGGCGCGGTGGCTCACGCCTGTAATCCTAGCACTCTGGGAGACCGAGGTGGGGGGATTGTTTGAGCTCAGGAGTTCAAAACCAGCCTGAGCAAGACCGAGACCCTGTCTCTACTAAAAATAGAAGGAAATTAATTGGACAACTAAAAATATATAGAAAAAATTAGCCAGGCATGGTGTCCCAGGCCTGTAGTCCCAGCTACTCGGGAGGCTGAGGCAGGAGGATGGCTTGAGCCCAGGAGTTTGAGGTTGCTGTGAGCTAGGCTGATGCCACGACACTCTAGCCCAGGCAACACAGTGAGACTCTGTCTCAAAAAAAAAAGAACAGATAGATAATGTAAGCAGAGATAAAAACTCTAAGAAAAAATCAATAGGAAGTGCTAAAAATCAAAAACACTAGAACAGAAATAAAGAATTCCTTTGATGGGTTCCTCAGTACACTGGACATGGCTAAGGGAAGAAGCAGGGAGCTTGAAGATAAGTCAAGAGAAACTACCAAAACTCAAATGCAAAGAGAAAAAAGAATGGGGGAAGAAAAACCCTGAACGAAACAGCCAAGAATTATGGGCCAATTACAAAAGACATAACACACATAATGGGAATACCAGAAAGAAAAGAGAGAAGGAACATAAGAAATATTTAACTAAGATAATAATGCCTGAGAATTTCCTTAAATTGACAGATACCAAACTGCACATCCAAGAAGCTCAAAGAAAATCAGGCAGAAAAAATGCTCAAAAAACTACAACACCAGGTGTGGTGGCTCATGCCTATGATCCCAGCACTTTGGGAGGCCAAGGCAGGGCTATCACTTGAGGCCAGAAGAGTTCGAGACCAGCCCGGGCACCATAGCAAGACTCCGTCTCTACAAAAAATATAAAAATTAGCCAGGTGTGGAGGCACATGCCTGTAGTCCCAGCTACTCAGGAGGCTGAAGCAGGAGGATCGCTTGAGCCTAGGCATTCGAGTTTGCAGTGAGCTATGATGACACCACTGGACTCTAGCCTGGGCAGCAGAGTGAGACTGTATCTCAAAGAAAAGAAACTTAAAAAAAAAAAGAAAGAAAGAAGCCAGACGCAGTGGTTCACACCTGTAATCCTAGCTTCTGGGAGGCCGAGGCAGGAGGATTGCTTGAGCTCAGGAGTTCGAGATCAGCCTGAGCAAGAGCGAGACCCCGTCTCTACTAAAAAATAGAGAGAAATTGGCCAAACAACTAAAAATAGAAAAAATTAGCCGGGCACGGTGGCGTGTACCCGTAGTCCCAGCTACCCAGGAGGCTGAGGCAGGAGGATCACTTGAGCCCAGGAGTTTGAGGTTGCTCTCAGCTAGGCTGACGCCACAGCACTCTAGCCCAGGCAAGAGAGTGAGACTCAAAAAAAAAAGAAAGGCCGGGCGCGGTGGCTCACGCCTGTAATCCTAGC